TGTTGCCTCTCTTATACTTTTACTAAGTTAGTTATAACTTCAGAAAAGGGTAAGTTCCCAGAGATAAGGATGTGATATGTATCTTATCCTGACTGCTCTATGGCTTTGCCAAGCATGTTCCTTGGAGGGGCCTAGCAGGCCTGGTCACTGTGAACACATCATTTAACAGAGAGCAGGTACCTCCTATGTGCCAGGTGCACGTGCTTGCCCTTATGAAGCCACATGCTGGTGGAAGTGGGCCTTTTCTCTTTTTCCTATGAGAATTTGTCAGCTTTGGAAGATGATGCCCTTTCCAAGTTTGAGGGAAGATGAAACAAACTTCCAGTGGTAGAATGGCAGTGCGCCCTCTGAAATCTCTTGTTATTGCAATAATATAGTTGGATTGAGACTTTTCTTTATCTTTGGAGCTTTCGCATTTTCTTTTCCTTTTTTTGAGACAGTGTCTTACTCTGTGGCACAGGCTGGAATGCAGTGGTGTGATTACAGCTCACTGCAGCCTCAACCTCCAAGGCTCAAGGAATCCTCCTAACTTAGCCTCCTGAGTAGTGTATGCCACCATGCCTCACTAATTTTTCTTTTTTTTTCTTCTTTTTTACATTTTTGTAGAGATGGGGTTTCCCCATGTGGTCCAGGCTGGTCTCAAAACTGGGCTCAAGGGATCCACCTGTCCTGGTCTCCCAAGGTGCTGGAACTACAGGCCTGAGCCACTGTGCCCAGCCCATATTTTCTTGACCATTTTCTTACTACCTTAATTTAGAAATAATTATTGTTATAAGTATTCTGTTGCATTCTGTTTGAGGATGTTTTTAGCGATAGTGGGAATACAGGAAATTTTGATAGAGGTGAAGACATTGGCCTGCAGCTGAACAGCAAGATCATGGTTATCATGGAGCCTGTCTAGTTAGAATTTTCCCTGTTTGAGCACTTTTATTCATCTGGGTAGACTTTTGATATTATCTAAATTTAGAACACAGGGAAAAAAACAGGATGGAATTTATTTTATTTTACCAGTTTTTGCCTATAAAAATGAACTTCGGGTACACTCCTGTAAATGTATATGGTGTTTCACTGGATGCAATTAAAAAATGAAAATTAAGAGTTCATGGTTAGAATTTTTTCAGGGTCTTTTTAAAGTAAAATTTTCATCTTTTCACTTATAGGTAAAAAGCGCAGACTCACCATTATTGAATGTGGGTGTGACATTAACATGATGGTTGATCTGGCTAAAGCAGCAGATCTGGTAAGTCAGCAGGGGCAGCCTGGGGTGCTGATAGAGACTTACAGCGTTGTGATAGGTTATTTACCCCATGAAGGGAAGAGAGTTTTATGATTATTAAAGGAATCATGGTCAATATCAGGGATACAGTAGATGTGACTGAATTGATGATGACAATAATAATAGCAATAAATGTTGTTATATTAATAATACAGATGGAATGTGCACAATGAAATGTATTCCAAAATCTAAAAGCAAATGACAGCATGGAGAAAACCTTTAATGAACACAGCTAATAAGAGCTCATTAACATGCATGCATATATATGTACAAATATATCATAGTAAGTACCATTTCTTCTTGGACCCTTCCTGGCACTGTGCTAACTGCTTTCTATAAATTTAGCTTACATAAACCCTTGATACACACTTGAGGTGAGTAGGTATTATCTGTAGTTTACATAAGATGAAACAGAGCTTCCCAGCAGTTAAGTAATTTGTGTAAAGATGGGACCCTTGTTCCTGATGGTTCTAGAACCTTCATCCTTAATGATAATGCTAAAGTAAGTACATGAATTGCCTGAAGAAGTGGTCAGAATTTATCAATAGAAAATGTAGATAGTACTCAGTGTGTGGAAAATGTACACGCTCTTGCATTTATGGAAATGATAATGTTCACTATTTCTGATATTCTATTAACTATCTTTTGAATTAGCAAAAATAAAATACAAATTAGCAAAAAAAAAAAAAAAAAAAGGCCAGACACGATGGGTCACACCTGTAATCCCAGCACTTTGGGAGACCGAAGTGGGCGGATCACCTGAGGTCAGGAGTTCGAGACCAGCCTGACCAACATGCAGAAACCCTGTCTCTACCAAAAATATAAAATTAGCCAGGTGAAGTGGTGCATGCCTGTAATCCCAGTTACTTAGGAGGCTGAGGCAGGAGAATCGCTTCAACCTGGGAGGTGGAGGTTGTGGTGAGCCGAGATCGCACCATTGCACTCCAGCCTGGGCAACAAGAGTGAAATTCTGTCTCAAAAAAAAAAGCAAAAAATAAGCCATATTGATTAGGAAGTGTGGGGTGACAGATACCTTGGTTTTTTCATTTTTATTTAGTTCTTTCTAGAGCTACAGATTTTATACTTTGGCCCAGGAAGACTCCTAAAATATAAAGGAAAAAGTAATACAGATTTTAAAGTTGTGCCATTTAATGTCAGACAACTAAATATCATTCAAATTTTGAACATGTAATGCTACTATTAGTAAAAATAAGTGTAATTAATGTAAAGTTGTGTAAAGATTACTAAACCTTGTATACTTGAAAAGATTGAAACAGTTCATAGAAGTCATTTGTTTCTCTTTTATTTAAAATGCAGCAAGTTTCTAATTTTAAAGACATACATATTAAGAAATACCTTTACTTTTTTATTTTGAGTTATTATGGATACATAATAGTTGTGCATACTTATAGGGGACATGTAGTATTTTGATAGAAGCATACAATGTGTGATGATCAAATCAGGGTAATTCAGATATCCGTCACTTCATTTATTTATTTATTTTTTTAATTTTTTTTTTTTTCTTTTTTTTTGAGATGGAGTCTCGCTGTGTCGCCCAGGCTGGAGTGCAGTGGCGCGATCTCGGCTCACTGCAAGCTCCACCTCCTGGGCCCACGCCGTTCTCCTGCCTCAGTCTCCTGAGTAGCTGGGACCACAGGCACCCGCCACCGCGCCTGGCTAATTTTTTGTATTTTTAGTAGAGACGGGGTTTCACCGTGTTAGCCAGGATGGTCTCGATCTCTTGACCTCGTGATCCGCCCGCCTCGGCCTCCCAAAGTGCTGAGATTACAGGCTTGAGCCACCACGACTGGCCAGATATCCATCACTTCAAACATTTATAATTTCTTTGTGTTAGGAACATTTTAATTTCATTCTTTTAGTTATTCTGAATTATATAATAAATTATAGTCACCCTATTGTGCTGTTGGACACTGGAATTTACTCTAACTGTATTTTTGTACCTGTTAACCTTTCCCTCTTTGTCCCTCCCTCCCTGCTCCCCTTCCCAGCCTCTTAACCATCATTGAGAGAGATGCCTATGTGAATCTTTTTAAGATTTTCAAAAGGAGCACACACATTTGGTAAAGCACTCTGACTAATGCAGGGTACACACAGTGTGCGTTTTCTCTTTCCTTGCTCTAACCACTGGTCTCTCAGGGCCCTGCAGAGCAGTATCCTTCCAGATACATATAAACACACATGCCACCCTTTAAAAACACAAATGGTAGCTTATTTTACACACTATTCTGTGCTTTGCTTTTTCCCTGTAACGTATCTTGGAGGTATATAATCAGTAAGTACTGTAGCTCTGCCTCCTTCTTTTTAATATAATATTCCATTCTATGGATACACCATAATTTATTTAGCCTAGCTTATGTTGATTGCTCTGCTCTGGGTTGTTAGAGCCTCCTGACTATGGCAAAGGCACACACAGTACGTGGATTTGGGTGTGTACGTGTGTGTGTGGATTAGGGAAGTAACACTGGCTTAAATGACAAAGATTGGCAGCTGAGGGCCTGTTTGCTCCCTGTTCTTCCTGACCCTACAACCAGCTGCTTGCACCTTGGCACTCTGACATCAGATGTGGTGTGAGGATTTTCCACCTGTTCTTCGAGCTGGTCCAGTGTTGCTGGAGAGCTGCTTGCTGCCTCGGTCTGCAGTGGCAGCTGTGCTTTCCTGCAAGCCCGACTTCATATATTCTGTGGTTTTGGGTTTTGAATGTTTCCTAGTTTAATCAAAGGTGGGCATTTCTGTTTCCATTTTGTGTTATTTTCAGTTATCCATGGAAAGATAAGAACAGAACTATCTTTAATATTAAAACTAGAAGTTTCCAGGAATCAATTCTGAAATTATTTTGGATCTTTGAAGTGTCTTAAATTTTAAAAATTGGTCTTATCTGCTTATATTTTCTTATAGACTACCATTCATCATAATCTTACTGTTTTTTGACTTAATTCTAAACTGGTAGCTGTTAAAAAAAATTTCTGAGCAATTGAGTTATACAAATTAACATACAAGATAGAGGTGTACACTGCATATTTCCTAGCAAAAAACAGATGTGTGTGTGTGTGTGTGTGTGTGTGTGTGTGTGTGGAGCTTGAAAGAAGAGGTTGGTTTTCTGTACCTATTTAATATATTTCGTTGATTATCACTTTCTTCCCATTCTTTGGGTGTCAGAGACCTGTTATTTGGCTTAAAAATATATTATAGAAAACTTCATTTTTTTAAATTAGGATTTCTTAGGTAAGGACTAGGTTAGACCCAGCCTTTTCTGAGTTACTTCTCACGCATTAGAATTCTTAAAATGAAAGTTTATATCCTAGTGGGCATTGTCTTATGGTTGCCTTTTAGAGCAAGTCAGAGGGTGGTGGTTTCTCTGGGAGATGCCTGTGTAGTCATTAGATTTAGTCTGGAGTGGGACTTTCCTGTCGAGGGCCAGATAGTAAATATTTTCGGCTTTGTGGATCATATCTTTTACAGCTACTTAGCTCTGCAATTGTAGTGCCCAGGCAGCCATAGACAATATGCAAATGAATTAATGTGGCTGTGTTCCAATAAAACTGTAGTTACAAACACAGGTGATGGGTGGATTTGGCACGTGGGCCAGTTGCCAACCCCTAGTGTAGGTGGTCTGTTTTGGTAGTTTCTTTGAGAAATGATGTGTTCTGTTTGTAGGTACTGATGCTTATAGATGCCAGCTTTGGGTTTGAAATGGAAACCTCTGAGTTTCTAAACATCTGTCAAGTACATGGCTTTCCTAAAATTATGGGAGTTCTCACCCACCTCGACTCCTCCAAGCATAATAAGAAACGGAAGAAGACAAGCGATTAAAACACAGGTTCTGGACGGAAGTTTACCCGGTAGGAAGAGAAATAATTGTTAGACACCAGCAGTATAATCCTTTTAAAATAGACTGAAGAGGCAGGCACAGTGGCTCATGCCTGTAATCCCAGCACTTTGGGAGGCAGACTCGGGCGGATCACTTGAGGCCAGGAGTTTCGAGCTCAGGGCAATATGGCCAAACCCCGTCTCTACTAAAAATGCAAAAATTAGTTGGGTGTGGTGGTGCGCGCCTGTAATTCCAGCTACTCGGGAGGCTGAGACGTGAGAATTGCTTGAAGCTGGGAGGCAGAGGGTGCAGTGAGCTGAGATTGCGCCACTGCACTCCAGCCTGGGTGACAGAGTGAGACTCCGTCTCAAACAAACAAACAGAAAGACTGAAGAGACGTTGCTAAACATCTCTAGAATTTGCCTCCTGAATCCCCATTGTGTATGTGTTTCCAGTCTCTGGAAGGTATCCCTCAAGAGAGTGCTTATTCTGGGCCTCTTGGTGTATCTCATTTGTCTCTGTACCTGCTGCAACAGGCAGTGTCTGGGTGTTTGGGGTGGGGACTTAATAGAGTACATCAGAAGTTTCTCCCAGTTACAGGACCAGGCACTGCCCCTTCCTTTCCATACTGCTCTGGTCCATCGGCCACAGAACCGTTTCTGTGCTCAGAGGCCTCACCTCCCTCTCCTCACCATACTTAGATGGATGCCCCTGCTCGGCTGCAGAGCAGTCTGCCTCTGTGGGGTTCTAATAAGTCCTGAAAGAAGCCAGCAAGGCTCTGGAAGCCTCAGGACAGTGGCTTTGCTGGAAGTCTCCCTTCTTAGAATTGCCTCTTGTTTAGAGCTTTTATTTTGTTGCAGTATTGACGAGAATTTAATTGAAATTTAATTTTTAATTTTCCTTTAATGTTTAGGGTGCCAAGCTGTTCTGCCTTTCTGGAATGGTGCATGGAGAATATCAAAACCAAGAAATGCACAATCTGGGCCGTTTTATTCCAGTTATGAAGTTTAGGCCTCTCACATGGCAAACTTCTCACCCTTATGTCCTGGCAGACAGGTAAAAAGTGACTGTAAACTTTTTCTTCCTGGGCCATATATTTCAAAGCTAAAAAGGCTAGAAAAAGAACAGTGATAGGATTTATTTTGTGCCTATTTGAATAGTCGGAGGTAGAAGTGTAGTTGATGGGAAATGTCTACTTATATCATTGCTCAAAGATGCTGTGGCTTTAGGAGTAAATTAACTATGAGAAGTTTAGGACAATGGGAGGACTTGGAAGCATTTAAGGCTACAGGATGTGGCCCCATCCTACGTTCATCCTCAGTTTTCAGTGATGCTGCCTTCGTGTCCGGGTGCTTGAGTCCTCGTGTGTGCCTTCAGTTTCCTTCCTTTGTGCTCTTCTTTGTGCTGTGATTTTTCTCAGCCTGGAATACCCTTTCTCCACCTGCCAGAATCCAAACCACAGTAAAAATCCCAGAGCACAGGCTCACCCTCTTCCAGAAACGGATTTTCTCAATATGTTCTTCACTCCTCCCTGACCCCAGGTGGATGTCATCTCCCTGTCTGGTGTCTTAAGGAATGAATGTCACTTTCAGCCTAGAGACACAGTTGTGTGCCTGCCCCTTTTCCGCTGCTGGATGGTGAACGGTGCTTCCTTATTTCTGTATTTTCTAGTTTTCTAAACAGCGTGCTTAGTGGACAAGAGTGTGATGACTCATTGACACATGAAAGGAGGTATAGGAACTTTTGGCATTCATTTCTGCTGTATGGTTGTGTTTATTTTTCTAAGATGGAAGATTTGACAAACCCAGAGAATATCCAAACAAACATCAAATGTGACCGGCAGGTGTCACTTTATGTTATTAAGAGTAGCACACTTGAAAAATAAAAGCCAAATTCACATGGCAAGTATTCTCTTGTTGTAGAACATACTAGAATTACACATAGGATTCTTGGAATGGCTTCATTTCTCAGGAAAACTGAAAAATGACCATATAAGGGAAGATGGCCTTGCTGGAGGTTTTAAAAGTAAGCCAGCTGTGTGTAGGCCTGCAAAGTGTTATTGAATCCCCTCTTCTCTGACCTCTTGTCTTGCAGCTAGAGGGACACTATTCCCGTGTGGCATGATGCCCTTCTTTAGGGTCATGGGTTAAGCCCTTGGACTGTGGATCGTTGTTAACCCCCAAGTCAACAGTAGATACTGACTTCCTGTCAGCTGAAGCTGGCTTTTTGGGTCCTGTCTTCCAGGAATAGAAGATTTTGCCATGCATGACATCAGTTTCCTCCCAGACCCTTGCACTCTTCCTGAACAATGAAAGAAGCGCTGTTTAAATGAGAAGGAGAAGGTGGTTTATGTGCCTCTTTCTGGAGTTGGGCGAGTGCTGTATGACAAAGACGCGGTCTATGTTGACCTTAGTGGCAGCCACGGTTTTCAGGCATCGGTGAGATGGGGGTCATTGCTCTGAACTCTCATTATTCTTTCTGAGTCTATTTTTTAATCAAAAAAAGTAATGTACTCAGCTTTTATTTATTGAAGATTTTTCTCTTGTACTTGTAATAAAGGCCCAAATGCATATTGTAAATATGTAGAATAAAAAGAATACCTTTTTTTCATTGTACCAAGCAGAAGCGTCCTGTCCTCCATGCCTCCTTGATCCGTGGCCCCGGCGCGGGCCCTGCTGCCAGTGTGGCACCTGCACGGCTTATCTCTGTTTCTACAAAACCAGTGTGCTCGCCAGCTCTCGTTGGTCTTTTTCTTTTTCTCATTCACAATGGTCTCCTCGTTCTTCCTTTTAAAGCAGATTTCCAATGTTTATTTCTTAGTTCTCACGTGGAATTTTATTGGGTTAAAATCAGGGTTATTTTAAAATGTTAGAAAAGCTAGCATTGTTGTAGCACTGGAACTGAGATTTTTCTAGCTAGGTGTTTAGGTTATCAGGTTATATACTCACTGAGCTTTGGAAAAGTTTAATGGATATGGGGATCCATTTCAAGCTTTGTTGTAAGGATTTTCTTCTCTGGTTTTTGAGGCCTTAGGAAAGTTCTCAGGAAATGTGTCTAAGATAATTTTGAGAACTGAGTGAAACCAGTGTCTCTCCAGGATCTTTGTGCTTTCCTCACATGCCCTTTCTTGGTGGTCTTTACAGGATGAGGTGGGGCCCACCCATGAGCTGGTCCAGAGTCTCATCTCCACCATTGATGCCAAGATGACTTCAAGTCGGGTGACGCTGTTTTCTGATTCCAAGCCACTTGGGTCAGAGGCTATAGATAATCAAGGGGAAGTCTGCTTTTTTTTCTATTTTTAATGAAAAGATATACTACAGAAGATCATATCACCTGTAATTCTGCCATTATAACACATTTGGTGGGATTCATTCTATGTTGTTTTGTTTTTCTTTGTGTATGCATGTGTCTCTGAGGGCTCTTCACTTACCTGACATTATGAGGGAGTCTTTTCTAGAAATAAAATACAGGATGCATTTTTCAACAGACCCAAATGTTCCTTAAATACCACGCCATCTTCCATAGGTTGCTTTTTTGTTTTTTAAGAGACCTGAGGCCACTTGGCTTTCTTTTGGTGGCCAAAACACTAGAGGAGAGTCAGGGAGTTTGTGGCTGTCCAGAAGCCACATGCCTTGTCTCTGAAAGTTTTATTTAGATTATGTTGTATTATCTCCCATGGGTAAGTTTCCACTGATGTATGGCTTATGTGAATTATTTTTCAGCCTGGGTTAAGAATTTGTATACCTTTATGCTTAGTGGATGTTTGCAAAACATTAGTTTTGTTGTATTGATTTATGATTCCCAGTAAAATTTATCTGATAATTTTGAGATAATCTAGTATGTAATTTGTTACAATGTGCATAAACTACCTACCGCAGTGCCTAAGATAATGAGTGTTATTAGCTATTTTCATTTTTGCATATCCTTCTAGTTATCCTTGTATACAAGAATACTCTCTTCTAATATAGTTACAGGTAAAATACATAATTTTATTTCTATATTCTGAGCATTTTTTTTTCTATACAGTCTTTATGTAGTCATGATTTTGTTGTTACCGGTGTTTTTTTGTTATTGTGGTTTCTTTGTTTTTGTTTTTGTTTTTGTTTTGAGATAAGGTCTCACTTTGTCTCCCAGGCTGGAGTGCAGTGGCGTGATCTTGGCTCACTGCAGCCTTGAACTCCCAGGCCCAAGTGATCCTCCTGCTTCAGCCCCACAAGTACCTGGGATTGCAAGAGTACACCACCACTCCAAGCTAACTTTTTTTGTTTTGTTCTAGGGACGAGTTCTCATTATGTTGCCTAGGCTGGTCTCGAACTCCTAGGCTCAAGCAATCCTCCCGCCTTGGCCTCCCACAATCCTGGGATTACAGATGTGAGCCACTATGCCTGGCCTATTATTCCTGTATTCTAACTTATCCATCTCTTATGGTAAAATTTTTAGTTTTTTCTAATTTATGTTTTCATATTTTTATCTATTGTGCTTCGCATAGTTTTCTTTCATATAGTGATTTTAGCCTCCTTATGATCTCTATCAGTTATGGCACTGGTGACTTAAACTGGATGTTCTTCCTCTGTCATTCCTCCTACATTTGTTAGCTGGAATTTTTAGCAAAGAGCTTTCAATTCTTCCCTTTATTTTGGTATCACTGCTGACTAATGCACTTGCGTTTTATTCCATGGGTTATTTTCCATCACTGTCATTGTTCTTTCTGATGCCTATGGTGTCCCAGATTCGGCCACGGGAGCCTTCAGCCTGTCTCCTGTGTCCTTTCAACTGTCTTTTTTAGTCTTGAGCATTTCTTCCTTTCTGACAGAACAAGAGGATCCAGGCTCATTTTGCCCTCTTTCTGCCTTGGGCCTGGACTCAGCCATTTCTCTTAAGGATCATGTGTGTTTAGCTTAGAAATTAATCAGCTTTCCAAAAGATCTACAAAACACTAACTTCCCTGTTGAGCAATTTTTTTCTAAAATTAGATTTTTTTAAAGGATTATTCCTTTATTCTCTCTATAAGTTCTTTTGAAGTGTGGTATTAGGGAACCATGCCTGAGTTTGCTTATTAACTCTTCCAGTGTTTATCAGATCATTTTTTCAATATGCTATGTCATCTTAAACATCTTAAACAATTCCTTGACGTTTTCTGTTTCTTTGTATTTTCATTGACTATATTGCCATTTCTAGATGAGCTGATCAATGTACAAATTGAATTATTTTGCGTTTCCTTGGTAATATATGCTGTTGATGCCAAAGGAGGAAAAACAAATGGACTTGAAAACTGGTTGAATGTGTCGGAAAGCCATTTTGGGAGATGATTATGTGCTAACATCCTCTCTCCTTTCTTGGTTTCTTAATTTTTTTTTCTTACCCAGATATATACAGGTTGATTTTGTCTTTCTAGAAGATCCAAGATCTTTGGTTTAGAGATATGTTCTCTTAATGTTAATTGGTATTAGAATACCCTTTTCTGTATTTTATTTCAACACATTTTAAGAATAGAAATGATTGTATTTTCTTTTAACTTGTGAAGTAGAGCATGGCATACAAACGTTGTATTCTCAGTATTTCAAAAACTTTCCTTCTTACTATACAAGTTGTATTCAGCATATAAAGTCCATCCAGCTTTGTTGTAGATGCAGTGTGATTATTACATGTTGATAAGGTATGAATTGGAGATGGGATCCAAAAGTACTGTACTTATTGTAATTTTTAAGCTAATTGTAGGTTTGGTGGTGAATATTTTGCTTCTGCAAAATGCAAACAGCATTTCATCAGAGATTGTCTTATGGTCTTTCAGACATTTTGTTTTATATCTTTGGTGCTTTTTGCCCATGAAGTATCTCTTTTGTGTGTTTGTGTGTGTGTATTGATCTGCCTCGAAATTTCACAGCGCTCATTGTCAGGGATCAGCAGAACCAGGCCTAGGCAGAGAGCTGAGCAGTACTCTCAGTATGTCTCTGTGTCCTGGTTGCCACATTATCTCTGTTGTTTATTAATAAATTGGAGAACTCTCTGACCTGTAACAAAGGTTGAATAGATCAGAGACAATTGGAAGAGGAATCCTCTACTCTGTTGTCACCTCTTCTTTTTCTATTCACACATGTCAGATAGACATGTGTGCTGTAAATTATTTTGTCAGAATGAAAGCTTGGCCAATTAAATGCTTTCTTCCTACCGTACTTAATGCCGATCTCTTGTTCATTTCTTGGTAATATATTTGGTTATTTATGTTTTCATTGCTTTTAGTGTCAGAGATGGCTTTGGATTCCCAGTTCTGTGTGTTCCTGTCTAGCTCCCGAACCCAGCTGGAGAGGTGTGTCAGTCCCAACTGGTGAAGTACTGAGAGGAAGCTACACAAAAGGCAGCAAGGTATTAATAAGTGTACCTCTGAGATTTTAACCACCTCTGACTGTTCCATGGAATGGACAAGTAGTAGTCTCTGTCAGAACTACATTTTAAAGGAAAAAAAGAAACTTGAAGTCGTAAACTGTTTATTAATTTATGCTGTTATTTTTGTGTTTACTCAACTCATTTATATTGACTTGTAAATTAGCAATTTATGAACTACTATTTAGCAATTCATTGCCTACATGTCAGCAAACAAATTTTGTTCTTAATAAAGAATCTAGTGACTGGGCACAATGGTTCATACCTGTAATCTCAGCACATTGGGAGGGCAAGGCAGGAGGATTCCTTGAGGTCAGGAGTTCAGGACCAGCCTGGGCAACATAGCAAGATTTCATCTCTACAAAAAAAAGAAAACATTGACTGGGCATGGTGCCTCATTCCTGTAGTTCAGGCCACTCAGGAGCCTCAGGTAGGAGGATCATGTGAATCCAGGAGTTTGAGGCTGCAGTGAGCTACGATGCTAACACTGCTCTCCAGCCTGGGTGACAACCAAGACACCATCTCTTCAAAAAAGGAATCTAGGGGCATCAGTGTGTGCACGCAGCATGGCTTGTGAATGCGGAAGTGCATGTGTGCATAGTTGTGCTCAAGAATGTGTTGATGATTATACCTTCTCAGAATGAAGGTAATTTTTTTTTTTTTTTTTTTTTTTTGAGAGGGAATCTCGCTCTGTCATCCAGGCTAGAGTGCAGTGGCACAATCTTGGCTCACTGCAACCTCCACCTCCTGGATTCAAGCAATTCTTCTGCCTCAGCCTCCCAAGTAGCTGGGATTACAGACGCCCACTACCACGCCGGGCTAATTTTTGTGTTTTTTTTTCAGTAGAGACAAGGTTTCACTATGTAGGTGAAGCTGGTCTCAAACTCCTGACCTCAAATGATCTGCCCACCTTGGCCCCCCAAAGTGGTGGGATTACAGGCATGAGCCACTGCGCCCAGCCTGTTTATTCTCTTAAGAGGGAAAATGAGGGGATTAATGGACTGTGGTTCTGGACAAGGTGGAAAACTCTTAAAGTGGAAGTACTGGGGCAAGTGCTGTGACAGGCTAGGATGGTGTAGTCAGTCCCTTCACCCAGAAATCAGTAGAATGTTAGCAGTTCAGACTCAAACCTTGTGAAAAACAGGTGGTGGAAAGGAAGTCCCTCGCGGCAACTGGCACCATAATCAAGACAGAATGTTTTCAGAATAAATGGAGTTATCTGCTTTCAGCCCCAGGTGGTAGCTATTGTCTGCCCTGACGATAGGTGATATTAATTTGTGATCCTGTTGTCTTAAAATGGGGTCACTCATCTCCAGTAGAAATAAGTCCACAGTGAAGTTGTCCCCCCATCCCCAAAGAGATAAACATATATGAATGTACTCACGTGATAACAACTACTGCTGCCTGGGATCATGACAGACCTGAAATGAACTGATAGGAAGTGAAAGGTTGCTGAGATAATGAGAATAGACCCATCTGCAGAGGATCATAAAACCAGCAAAGACAAGGTCTTGTGTCAGATGCCTTCAGAAGCTTTGTCTGTGAGAACTCTAAGGACTTCTCCAGACCTGTTGTCTGCTGCCCAAAAGGAGCCTCTGACCAGCATCCAAAGGGCTTCTGGACCCACTGGACTCTTCTGGAGGTACACTGGTCTCCCGAGCCATGGCTGTGGCTTTTTACTCGCTTTATCACTGCCTGTGTGTAGAATGATAATTGCATAATTAATAGTGTGAAGACCTCTTGATAAATGGCAAATCTGAACATCTGTATTTGGCTGATGTGTCATTGTGAAACCTCACAGCTTCAGTCAGTGTCAGCACAGCTAGGGAGTTTGTACATAATGCACATATCACTGGGCATAGTCTAGAGGCACCTAATAACTCAGGTACCTTAACAGTCACTAATGAGTGTATCTCCAAGGAATAGTCCAACAACACATGACTGGCCTGACTCAAGGTAACTATGTGTCCAATCCAGGGTCATAGTGAGTGGGCATCTGCCAACCAGGGGTCATTCCCCCTGCCTGCCATTGAGCAATTCAGAAGTGACTGGTATAAGCAGACATGAGTGAGCTTGCTCAATTCACTATTTGCCTCTTTGGAGGGGATCATACCCAGGACCTAGGTCATTGTGCCTTATCGGAGTCCTACACATTTCACTTGCAAATTATATTTGAAAATTAAATGACCATGTTGCAAGTCATTCACAAGACATTTTTAAAAATTGCATTCCAGAACCCATATTAACATCCAGTGACCTGTAGAAAGCAGTAGAGAAATGTATTAGGCAAAAAGTTCTGGCAAAGACCAGTCTGATACTGGTCTGATTATCCAACCTCAGGAATTGGCCACATCAACTCGAAGAGCGAAGAAAAATAAAAAGTACCAGATTTATTACTCAAGACATTAGGAACTGTCCATTTAGGTAGATGATTTTAGCTAATAAAATATTACAACGTCATCCTGAAGAATATGTCCCTCTTCCAGAGAACCCAGGAGGTTATCATGACCCCTGGAAAGCCCGACCAGCAGTAACAGTGCAAGTGGCATAGGTGCATGAGTGCAGACATACAATCTCTACTGAAAGTAAGTTTCATACTAGGCAAGAATTACAGGATATACATAGAACTTTTGCTCACAAAGTCAAATCAGATGTACAAATTCAATATGGTTTAGGAGTTAATGGTGGTAAATTCATCATGCTTACGGGAAGTGAAGTAGGACAAATGACTGGAATAGCAAGTAACTCCAGGATTAATGATGAATTAATTGCTAGAGCAGAAAATATCCAAGACCTTCCTGACTTATGGTGGGGATGGGTAAAGAAGTTGGATGAGACGATACCCAAACAGATTCCCAGGTTTACCTAAACAATGGAAGACTGTAAAAGATGCCATTAAGATATCTCAAGAATATGGAAGATTATTATTCGCTTCTCATGGGAAAGGACTTTATAGGGCACCTGAAAAAATTCCCAAGCAAAATCACTTTTACAAAATGTCAAGTTATGATATCCAAAATGAAACCAAAAAGTCACAACATTCACATAATACACTGTGCAACCCTGATCTCCTGACTGTCATAAAATGTTTCTTACCTCTAAACCAAAGTTTCATTTTATAATTTAATTTTTCTCATTTTTTCTGTTCTCTTAGCTTAGGAAAAGATCATTACAAACTTTTTGTATGTTTTTCATATATGCTTGCAAAGAATTGTAAAACTTTGTTGTGATTATTTTTCCTTTAAGCTGAAACTTCCCTAATCTTTCTTTAGAGATTGTGGCATAGCATGCTAGTTTTCTTTCCATATCCATTTGTTTTCTGTAATGAATACAGAAATACAGGCACTATTTTGTAACTTTAAACAGACATTATCTCAAGTCTACAAGAATTATCCAAAATGGTATCTAATGACATTTCTAGGTCTTCAGACACTTAACACAGATTGGAGCCTCTAGGTCTTGAAGATTTTACTAGATATTGGTTACTGAAACTGAGCTTTCTTGAATTATTTTTCCTTCCACTGTGGTTTCCTGCATTTCAACATATCACCGAGTTTTATCCTCAAACATTACTTATTTTCCACAGAATTAAATTAAATATGAATCATCCCTCCTTTTCTGATTTTTGGAACGACCCTTTGTTTCCATTAATAATGATTCTTCTGGTCCGTTTTGTAGTTATATGTTAGAGTTTGTAAATATTCACACATTTTGCAATTGCATATAATTTTCTTATTTTTTCCTCTTCCTCTAAAGTTGCTGTTATTTCTTTTAACTTTTTGTGGGAAAAATTAAATCCATCTTTCACTTTGTTGATATGCTTATTTATAATTCAACTCCTTGATTTTTACTCAAATTACTTTTCAAGTTACCCACTTTTAGGGAAGGTATTTTTTGGGGTTTTGTTTAGTGTGTCAGGCTTTCTTTAATTAGTTGTATCAAGAAGTGTAGACTTTTCTATACATAATATTCTTTTTCCCACAGTAGTTTTGTTTTGTTTTGTTTTTTTGAGAGAGTCTCGCTCAGTTCCCCACTGGAGTGCAGTAGCGCATCTCAGCTCACTGCAAGCTCCACCTCCTGGGTTCACACCATTCTCCTGCCTCAGACTCCCAAGTAGCTTGGACTACAGGCGCCCACCACCACGCCTGGCTAATTTTTTTGTATTTTTAGTAGAGATGGGGTTTCACCATGTTAGCCAGGATATTCTCAATCTCCTGATTTCGTGATCCACTGGCCTCGGCCTCCCAAAGTGCTGGGATTACAGGCATGAGCCACCACGCCCGGCCTATATTCAACTTTTGATCAGAGAGTTCCATTTTAATGTGACACTGAGAGTAAAAAACTATCTTTTCTTCCTTACCCATTTCTCTTCCTACATTCTCTGCCAGGAGGAAGGCACCGCTACATACCCAGTCTTCGCCAGCAGAGCCTGAGCGGTTCTGTTTTTCCTCTGCTTCCCCTCTTCTTTCACATCTCATGACCAAGCACTTCCTATTCTCTCTCCCAAATGATCACAGGTTTTTTCCTCCAGTTTTGTCACTGCCACTGCCCTTAGCATTACTCTGCCTTTAGATAGTCTCTTAATTGCTCTGGTAGCTTCCTTCAGTTCTTCCTTATTATACAGACCATTACACACACATCTGACAGAGACTTCTCACCTTTTTATGGTTCAATGACTGAAATTCCCAGAATAAAATTAAAACCACCCCAGCATCAAATCTGAGGTCAAATAGAGGTGGGTTTGTATCCCAGGTTCATATACTGTCCAGCAGTGTGGTCTCAGAAAACGGAACTCCTTAAGCCTTTGTGTATCTGCCTGCACTCATTGAGCATTGGGACTATTTCACACATACAGTGCCTGGCATGTAGAAGGGACTTAATCAATGTTGAAAGAAGGAGAGGCATTTTAAAATCCACATCAAAAAGATGTTTTTTTTGTCCAGGAGTGGTGGCTCACACCTGTAATCCCAGCACTTTGGGAGGCCAAGGCAGGTGGATCACCTGAGGTCAGGAGTTCCAGATCAACCTGACCAACATGGTGAAACCCCATCTCTACTAAAAATACAACCATTAGTTGAACATGGTGGTGTGCTCCTTCAATCCCAGCTACTTGAGAGGCTTAGGCACTTGAATGAGAATCACTTGAACCCAGGAGGTGGAAATTGCAGTGAGCCAAGATTGTGTCACTGCCTGGGCAACAGAGTGAGACTCTGTCTCCAAAAAAAAAAAAAAAAAAAAGTTGTTTTAAAAATATATTAATCAGGCTGGGTGTGGTGGCTCATGCCTGTAGTCCCAGCACTTTGGGAGTCTGAGGCGGGTGGATCTCCTCAGGTTGGGAGTTCGAGACCAGCCTGACGAACATGGAGAAACCCCATCTCTACTAAAAATACAAAATTAGCCGGGCATGGTGGTGCATGCCTGTAATCCCAGTTACTTGGGAGGCTGAGGCAGGAGAATCACTTGAGCCTGGGTGGTGGAGGTTGCAGTAATCCAAGATTGCGCCATTGCACTCCAGCCTGGGCAACAAGAGTGAAACTCCATCTCAAAAAAAAAAAATGTGTTCAGCAAGGTTGAAGTGTGTCCAGAATTGGTGGGTTCTTGGTCTCACTGACTTCAAGAATGAAGCTGCACACCTTTGCGGTGAATGTTACAGCTCATAAAGGCAGCATGGACCCAAAGAGTGAGCAGCAGCAAGATTTATTGCAAAGAGCAAAAGAACAAAGCTTCCACAATGTTGAAGGGGACCCAAACCCACAAGGGTGGCCACTGGCTGGCTGGGGCAGCCTGCCTTTATTACCTTATCTGGCCCACCCACATCCTGCTGATTGGTCCATTTTACAGAGAGCTGATTGAACCATTTTGACAGGGTGCTGACTGGTGCATTTACAATCCCTGAGCTAGACACAGAGTGCTGATTGGTGCATTTACAATCCTCTAGCTGGACATAAAAGTTCTCCAAGTCCCCACTAGGTTAGCTAGATAGAGTACCGATTGGTGTATTTACAAACCCTGAGCTAGACACAGAGTGCTGATTGGTGCATTTACAATCCCTTAGCTAGACATAAATGTTCTCCAAGTCCCCACTAGACTCAGGAGCCCAGCTGGCTTCACCTAGTGGATCACACACAGGGGCTGCAGGCGGACCTGCCCACTGGTGCCGGCAGTGTGCCCGCACTCCTCAGCCCTTGGGCAGTCGTCAGGGAGGCTTGGGCTGAGCAGGAGCCCACGGGGGGGGTGGGGAGAAAGGGGGAGGCTTGGGCATGGCGGGCTGCAGGTCCCGAGCCCTGCCCCGCGGGGAGGCAGCTGAGTCCTGGCGAGCCGACACTGCTGGGGTACCCAGCGCACCCTCTGCAGCTGCTGGCCCAGGTGCTAAGCCCCTCACTGCCCAGGGCCGGCGGTGCCAGCCAGCCACTCTTGAGTGCAGGGCCTGCCAAGCCCACACCGACCCAAAACTCGCGCTGGCCTGGGAGCAGCATGCGTAGCCTTGGCCAGCCCAGAGGGGGGCTCCCACTATGACATGGCGGGCTGAAGGGCTCCTCACGCACTGCCAGAGTGGATGCCGCGGATGAGGAGGTGCCGAGAGCAGGGCTGCTAGCATGCTGTCACCTCTCAGAAGCATAAAAGGTTATTAGCCAGAATCATTTATCAATTGTATTTCTGTACATCTGCAAGACACAATCTGAAAATGAAATTAGAGAAACAATTTCATTGGGCAACAAGAGCAAAACTTCATCTCAAAAGATAATAATAATAATAATCTACAGTGCCACTTCCCGTCCAAGCTTGACTTCTACCTTTACTTTCTAATATGGTTTTGCTATGTCCCCACCCAAATCTCATCATGAATTGTAATCCCCATAATCCTCATGTGTCAAGGGAGGGGTCTGGAGGGAGGTGATTGGATCATGGGGGCAGTTTTCCTCATGCTCTTCTTGTGATATTCAGTGATCTCTCATGAGATCTTATAGGGTTTCATTTCGTTTTGTTTTTTGGGGATGGAGTCTTGCTCTGTTGCCCAGGCTGGAGTGCCATGGCATGATCTTGGCTCACGGCAGCCTCTGCCTCCTGGGTTCCAGCAATTTTCCTGCCTCAGCCTCCTGAGTAGCTGGTATTACAGGCATGCACCACCACACCCAGCTAATTTTTGTATTTTTAGTAGAGATGGGATTTCACTACATTAGCTAGGCTGGTCTCGAACTCCTGACCTCAGTTGATCCACCTGCCTTGGCCTCCCAATGTGCTAGGGTTACAGGTGTAAGCCACTGTGCCCAGCTGAGATCTGATGGTTTTATACATGTTTGACGGTTGCTCCTTCACATGTTCACACTGTCTGTGTGGCCACCATGTAAGGCGGACCTGGTTCCCCTTCTGCCATGATTGTATGTTTCCTGAGGCCTCCCCCACCATGTGAAACTGTGAGTCAATTAAACCTCTTTCCTTTATAAATTACCCAACCTTAGGTATTTATATCAGTGTGAAAACAGACTAATATACTTTCTGATAACCATGCTTGAGGAATTGGGGAATTCAGACTACCTGGGATCAAATTGTGGCCCCACCCTTAGCAGTCATGTGACCTTGGGGAGGTTACTTACCTTCTCCATCTCCACTTCTTCTGTAAAATCTGTAAATGAGATTGTTTCTGAGGGTTAAATGAGCGTAGCACAGTGGGGACACTGTCAGGCACACACTACTTGTCAGATGTCGAGTATTCATCTTTATTAAATTAGGACTGTGGTAACCCACTTTATGGCTCTCGATTTTGTATGACAAAATCATGCTTAGTGATTTGTTAGTAAAAGAAAGAAAATCTGAAAGTCCCTGCCGTGGAAGGAAGAAATAGCGGGGAGAAAAGGGAGTTGGTAAGTTTCAGCATTTCAGAGCTTGGAGGGACAAGTTAGGTTTCTATTTTATGGAGAAGGAGGTGGAGGCAGGATGGGTCCTAAGGTGTCATTCAAGACACACAGCCGTAACTCTTTACTGAGAATAGAGCTAGGGCCCCAGGGATTGCTGTGGTCAATTTGCAGACAAAAACGACCACCCATTGGAAGACAGGAGAGGAGTGTTTTGTTACAAAAGCAGTCAGTCATTCAGGTGTATCTACATTCAGTCAGCAAATAAAAGTCATTCAACTTGGTTGCTAATGGGACCCACTCTACTGAGGCTTTGTGTAGAACTCATAGAGGAAGATGGCTTCAAGCAACGAACTACTCTGTGCTTTTCTTAGGACTAAAAATCTCAGGAAGCAGGTGATGGATGAAAACCTTAGTCCCACTGGCACTGCACGAGGGGCCAGGAGAGCAGCAGCCTCATAAGCCACAGGGTGGGGCATTCTGAGCTGTTGGGGAGGGGTGGCAACCAGGGTGGGGCACTGTGAGCTGTCAGGGAGGGCATTGTGATGTGTGGGGTGGGGCATTGTGTGCCACATGCCTAGTCTCCCACCTGGGCCAGTGGGCTTCAGTCTGTAGGTGACTACAGAAGGAGGAGGAGCTCCGTCTGTTCTCTCCTTAGGCAGTTGTGTGTCTCAGCGCTTGTTGGGTTCACAACCTATTAAATAAGCCGGCTGGTCTTCACCCTCCCAGACAAGTCAACTCAGGGGAGGCGGCAGGGCACAGGCCTTGGCCTACATCCCCATCTGGGGCCAGGGCCGGGCTGTGAGGTAGTCAGGCGAGCAGTGGGCAAGACCATCTCTGCAAGTGCAGCATAGCCTCGGCCTAGGACAGCGGGAGTGCGTGGCCAAAGCTGTGAGCAGAGGCACAGGTGGTGGCAGACAGTAGAGGCGTCCCATGGGGAACATACTGACCTGTTGTGTGTGCCCCAGGGACAGCCCTGAGTTTGACCAGCAGCAGGGGTCAGTGTGCCCCTCGGAGTCCAAGATCTATGAGACAGGAGCGCCCATGGCTGCTGCTGTACAGCCTGCTGCAGTGACTGTTGAAGTTGGTGAGGACCTCCACATGCACCACATCCATGACCAGGAGATGCCTGAAGGTAAGGAGGTGACGGGTGCCATCTGCCCTCGTCTTGCCTCTGGTCCCCAAGGTCCCCTGGGAGGCATTGCACACTTCGAGCTCCTTTCTGCCTGTAGCCAGCTTTCCCCGGGCTGGCCAGGAACAAAAGCTGACTCTGCCTTGCATTCCCACCCCTTAGTCTTTCCCCACCGAGTCCAGTCAGTTTCTTTTCGCCTCCCCTCCCAATTGCCCAGTTCTTGCTCTCTCATCTCATTCTCCCAGGCTGCCATGGGACCATTTATTTCTGGCTATTCTTGTCGAATAAGCAGCAGTCGAATAAACGAGTTGATAAATTTTTATAAATGATTATATCTTTTTTTTTCTTTTCTCCCTCTATACATATAGCTTTGGAGTTTAAACCTGCCAATTCAGAAGCAAGCACAATATTCCATGGGAACTCTCAAACAGATGGTGAGACAACATTGTCTGTAGCTCTATTTATTAACCTGTGGGACTTTGTTGAGGCTTTGGACCATTTTCTTCCTTTTCTCAATAAAAACTCAAATATCCCAACTTTCCAGCACCCACCTTATTTTTTCTTTGTACCTGTCCACATGGTACCTAAGTGAAGGAACCAGGTAAGTGCCTAATTGTTTCCTTTGTTAAAGTAGCTAAATCTCAGGACAGTTCGTATTCAGATATTCAGGGATTTCTTATTTAAAATCAGAATGGAGGTTGCCATGGGAGAGGCTGTATGGTATTCTTAATGGGCTGCTGTAAGTCACCTTGATAGAGGCTGCTTAGTTTCTTCTAACTGTAATTTGAACAGAGAAGAAAAAAAAAAAGGAGGGTGCTTAAAATAATTGTGAAAGGTGTGAAACGTCACCACCAGGACTGCAGAAAAATTGTTATGTGTTGTGGGGGGGAGGGTTTGTCAAAGGAGTTTACCCATGAGGCTCTGATTACTTTAAAATTCTTACTTTAACACAAAATGTGTCTCCAGATTTATTCTGGTGACTTAACAGACTTTATTTACCTCCTTGTTCTAAAAGAGAGGTGGGGATTGGTTCATGGCCAAAACTTTCAAAAGACATGAAACGTCAATGTAGACTTTTAATGTGTAATATAAAGATTGCAAGTTAAAATGTCACACCTTCCCTGTAAGAGTGATTGTTGCCGTGGCTCCTCCTTTGTCCTTTCCCCTCCTGATAATAGCATCTTGTTCAAAGATAGGAAAGTCAGAGTTTTGGCTGGGCATGATGGCTCACACCTGTAATCCCAGCACTTTGGGAGGCTGAGGCAGGTGGATCACCTGAGGTCAGGAGTTCGAGACCAGCCTGGCCAACATGGTGAAACCCCGTCTCTACTTAAAAAAATACAAAAATTAGCTGGGTGTGGTGGCGCATGCCTGTAGTTCCAGCTACTCGAGAGGCTGAGGCAGGAGAATTGCTTGAACCTGGGAGGTGGAGATTGCAGTGAGCAGAGATCATGCCAATGCACTCCAGCCTGGGTGACAGAGCGAAACCCCGTCTCACAAGAAAAAAAGAAGAAAAGGAAGAAAGTTGGAGATTTTTAAGTCTCTACACTGCTGGGAGAGGCGGGGGATGGGAGCCAGTAGAAAAGAGAAAACAGTTGGTTTGCCTCTAAAATTTTGCAAAGAGATGACTTTAGGTAAAAGTAATTCTGGGTAATAACATGATTCTTGAATAAAAACTAAAATTTTCAAAATAGAAAGCATTGCATCATAAAGATATTAAATCCAGTCGGCTTATTGGTTTCATTTAAATGCCAGAGATTTCATTGCTGTAGAGGAGATATCTTATAGCTCTTCTATTTAAACTTTGGTTGGGCTCTTAATTTTTTAAGAGGTAGGCTAATTAAGACTCATGATGAGTATGACTTTGTAACTTGTAAGTACTATCTTCACTTTTCAAGATATTTAAGGATTGCTTTAGAATAAACAAATATGTGAATTAAAGTACTTACAAAGCATGTAAGTGCTTGTGTAAACTTATAGTCTGGTGATGTAAGGAAAACCTGATTGATGTTACACACCAGTTAGTAGATGGGCAGTATTGGATGAGAGCCCAAAAACGGTTGTTTATTGTCATTCTTTAGGATTACAACACAGTTTATGTATGTCTCACTTGGCCCTTTCCAATACAAATAAGGCCTGTGTATATTCTCCCTATGTATTGCTAATGAAGAAATGAAGACTTAGAGATATCGCATGTCTGTGGAAGACAGCTACTCAACAGAACTAACATTCTATGTCCTCAGAATGATATGGAAGTGACAGATATGCTGAATTTACTTTTAAAAAATTTTTAAAACTCTAGAATACATTTTATATTTTGCCTATAAAATAGACTTGTCTTTTAAAACTTACTGCCATCTCGATTTATTTTATGCAAAGTTGATTTTACACAACTCAAAGCCGACATTTACCTCTTCATTTATTTTTTTTAAATAAAGGAGGGTGTCACTATGTTACACATGCTGGCCTCAAATTCCTGACCTGGGTTCAAGTGATTTTCCCATCTCGGCCTCCTGAGTAGCTGGGACTACAAGCATGTGCCATCTTGCCTGGCTCTCTCTTATATCCATACATTCATTTCAATGGATAAGAATAAAAGGAGAGGTAGTGACATAGCTTAAATGCAGCAGTTGAATAAATGAATTGATAAATTCTTATAAATGATTACATCTTTTTTTCCTTTCTCCCTCTATGCATATAGCTTTGGAGTTTAACCCTCCTGCCAATCCAGAGGCAACCACAATATTCCACAGGAACTCTCAAACAGATGGTGAGACAATGTTGTTTTTTCCACCAAGAGAAAGAGTAAAAACTCTTGTTTGATCAGGTGTATTATAGGAAGTATTTAGAAAAACTCACACTGGTTTAAATTTTTCAACTTTTCACATATTCACTTGTCTTATTTTAATGTGTGATATACTTTCCTTTAGTTGTTACCATTTTAGTGAAAACATGTAAACTTTTTGTTTATGCATTTTGCCATCTTTTTATCAACACAATTAATTTGTCATGTGATGGAGGAGTCATGGATTTCTCTTTATTCATAATTCTTGGTCCCTTTTCCTTTGCTCCAAAGAGTACATTTTAAAGATGAATGATAGAACTTAGGCTTCAGCTTGGTTTTCATTTAAACAAATTAAAAACATAGCTGTTTATCATCGGGGATTGAATCTGTGATTTGGGCCTCCTCTCACACAGTCCTCTGACCACATTCATTTACCACATCCAAGTTCATGCTACTCAAAACTTTTAAGTTATTAACCTTTTCATTTGATGTAATGTCAATTTAAACATGCCCTACTCTTGCTTATTTTTGTTAATGTTATGTTAAATCCTCATTTATTTGCTAAAAAGCCATACACAGCCAAGTTTTCCAGTTGACTTAAACAGCAAGAATACAAGTGAGGGTTCTATAATCATATGTGAAGTAACGCAGCACAGTAAAACATGGGAGTTTCTAACTTCGTTTTTATAGTTTGAGTAGACTTTGCCCATCCTGAGTCAGTTATTTCTGGTTAGAATTTGTGTTCATATTTTACATTACTGTAAACAGATACCTAAGGCTGGGTAATTTATAACAAAAAGAGGTTTAATCGGCTCATAGATCTTCAGGCTGTACAAACATGGCTTCAACATCTGCTTCTGGAGAGGGCCTCAGCAAGCTTACAATCATGATAGAAGGCAAAGGGGAAGCAGGTGGTTCCACACGGTGAAAGAGGGAGGAGAGAGGGGAAGGGGGAAGGTGCCGCACTCTTTTTTTTTTTTTTTTTTTGAAATGGAGTCTTGCTCTGTTGCCCAGGCTGGAGTGCAATGGTATGATCTCAGCTCACTACAACCTCTACCTCCCAGGTTCAAGCAATTATCCTGCCTCAGCCTCCTGAGTAGCTGGGACTATAGGCGGGCACCACAACACCTGGCTAATTTTTGTATGTTTGGTAGAGACAGGTTTTCACCATGTTGACCAGGTAGGTCTCGAACTCCTGACCTCAGGTGATCTGCCCGCTTCAGCCTCCCAAAGTGCTGGAATTACAGGCTTGAACCACCACACCCGGCCGGTACTACAGTCTTTTAAACTACCATAATGACAATTTGCTTATTACCATGGGGATGGGACCAAGCTATTCATAAGGAATCCCCCGCCATTACCCAAACACCTCCCACTAGGCCCTGTCTCCAACATTAAGGGTCATATGTTAACATGAGATTTGGAGGGGGAACATATCCAAAACAGAATTGTATTTCCCAGCTCCTTCCAGAGCCATGGGCTTCTGACACCTAGAGAGCGTGGAAGCGGTAAAAGAAAAGCTATTCCATGTCCCTCACTCTTCAGTGGTAGGAACTTTTGCCTACAAGGCCCTTCCAGCATCAAAGGCAGAGGTAGTGTAGGAAACAAAGCATGGCCCAAGTCCCTCTTGGGGCTTTTATTATTATGGCCTTATTTTAGAAAAAAAAAAATGATTTTTTGTGCTGCAGACACCATGTCCAATTAGGTTTGTATACTCATTTTAAAATTAAAATTTAGGCCAGGCTCTGTGGCTTACGCCTGTAATCCCAGGTCTTTGGGAGACCGAGGTGGTGGGAGGCCGAGGTGGGTGGATCACGAGGTTAGGCGATCAAGACCATCTTGGCTAATGCGGTGTAACCTCATCTCTACTAAAAATAAAAAAACAAAAATTAGCTAGGCGTGGTCGCGTGTGCCTGTAGTCCCAGCTAGTGGGGAGGCTAAGGCTGGAGAATTGCTTGAGCCTGGGAAGCAGAGGTTGCAGTGAGCTGAGATCCCACCACTGCACTCCAGCCTAGGTGACAGTGAGACTCCATCTCAAAAAAAAAAAAAATTTAAGACAGGTTACTTTCCAGTTGTGCAAAGACCCCTTTTTGTTTTGTTTTGTTTTTAGTGACATATTAGTAGGTAACCACTAAGTGTGGTTCAGGATGCTTACGGGGATTCTGTTGCATCTAGAGGTAGGTGCCTGGTCAGGAAGTAGTTCTTAGAGCTGTTAGCGCTTAGCTTCTGATAATTAAAGTAAGCTATGTGTAAATACCGAGTGAGAGAATACTAATGGATCATGGCTCATATATGCAACAGTTAAACCTTTTTATTAGCTAAGATTTTCATCTGGCCTAATTTTTTTGCCCTTTTCTTTTATACATGAGGATTCTTTCATTTTTATGTAATATAAACTTTATGAAATAGAAACTTTCATTTGTACATAATAGAAACGTTATGAAATTAATCATGCCAGATAATTTAAATTATAAATTATTGAAAATAATTTTTTAAATGGAATTTTGCCTCATTTTACATAGGAGTAATCAGTAAGATGTTAGTAACTACTTTTATTTTATGGTATTTGTATCAGAAGTGACCAGTTTGGTTTTTTTTATTCTTAGTTGTAGAAATAAGAAGAAGCAACTATACAAACCACGTAAGTAAACAGTCAAATAGTTAAGAAATGAATAGTTTGACATAAAAGTATCTCTCTCTTGATTTCTTTAAATTACAATATGGACCCAGTGGTGATAGTATGGACCCCTTTTTGTGGATTTTCTTTTTTTTTTTTTTTTGAGATGGAGTCTTGTTCTGTCGCCCAGGCTGGAATGTGGTGGCCGGATCTCAGCTCACTGCAAGCTCCGCCTCCTGGGTTTATGCCATTCTCCTGCCTCAGCCTCCCGAGTAGCTGGGACTACAGGCGCCCACCACCGCGCCTGGCTAATTTTTTGTATTTTTTAATAGAGACGGGGTTTCACCGTGTTAGCCAGGATGGTCTCGATCTCCTGACTTTGTGATCCGCCCGTCTCGGCCTCCTAAAGTGCTGGGATTACAGGATTGAGCCACCGCGCCCGGCCTGGATTTTCTAAATCTCTTCTATTTTCCTAAGTATTAAATGTATCCAGAAAAGTCTTTAGCTTAGGGTGTCCTTTTAAGGATTTCTGATATTTAAGTTAAATTTCAATAGTCTGGTTGTGGTAAAAAGATCTGCTTTAAGGCTGGGCGTAGTGGCTCACACCTGTAATCCCAGCACTTTAGGAGGCCAAGGCGGGCGGATCATCTGAGGTCAGGAGTTCGAGACAACCCTGACCAACATGGTGAAATTCTGTCTCTACTAAAAATACAAAATTAGCCAGGCATGGTGGTACATGCCTGTAATCTCAGCTACTCAGGAGGCTGAGGCAGGAGAATTACTTGAACCCGGGAAGCAGAGGTTGCAGTGAGCTGAGATCATGCCATTGCATTCCAGCCTAGGTGAGAAAGTGAAACTCTATTTCAAAAAAAAAATAAAAATAAAAAAAGTTTTGCCTTAAATATTTAATCTTATTTTTAATGAAATAACAAAAATAGAAGAGCTAAGTTAATTGCCAGCACAGTCTACTGACTTTCTATCACAGCAGGTGAAAGCATACCTTCCTCGCTACACCATGGTCTTATGTTCCTCCCTCTGTTTCTTCCAATTGTAGCACACTTCTTCATTAAATCAGTAATATTTACATGATTATGACTCTGCAAATATTATTCTCTGCTAAGTCATATGGTGTTTTCACTGTGCCTCTGCATTGCATGTCCTTCATCTTGTCTCTGAAACAGTTCTGAAATCTGAGCACTTCTGCAATTCTCCTGGATCTTCCCTTTTTTCCTAGCCGATGTTAGTTTATCCATCCAAATATAGTAAGTAGCCTCTGGGTGGTCTGTTTGCTTTCACATCCATTGTTTTTTAGCTTGAAGCTAATTTTCTGACTATATTCGTTTGCTTATTTTCTAACAGCTATTTTCCCCCAAGTGTTGTAGCATTTATCACATGCCTTTCAAAGATACTTTCCGTCTGCGAAAACACATCTGTTCCTTTTGTGTATGTGTCGGGGGCAACTTTCTTTGGCCTTTTGTCATCCTAGTTCAATATGGAGTGGCTTTCCCTAGATAGGCTCGATGTCTGCTTTTCTGCGCTATCTCCTTAAAGTCTTTTGGGATCTCACATAACTGCTGTCTTGTGTGGGATCGCCTGAGTCCCTGATTCTGTGTTTCCTTCTGTCCTGTTATCCTCTCTAGTTGTGCTTGAACACATTTTCCTGGGTGGAGATGTTTAGAGAGCTGGCCAGTCTTAAAATCCCTCCTCTTTGATAGAGAGGACACCTCTAGGTTGAATGTAGATTTTATGGTTCTGAAGACATTTTGCAGTTGTGCTGTCATTACAGTGTTGTTCTTGAATCTGTTGCCAGTGTGTGATACACTATTTACAACCAGGTTTTAGGTATCTGTGGAAGCTTTTTAGGATCTTCTCTCTCTCTGAGGTTCTGAAATTTTATAATAACAGCATGTTGGGGATCTTTTCATTTTATTTAGGCTACTAAACCTTGAAAACTTTTTTATTTTCTCTGTTTCTTTTACTGATAGTCTTGTTATTCAGACGCTAGGCTGCTTAGACCAGTACACCTGCATTGGTTTTTAATTTTTCCCCTTCTGTTTTTTTCTGTTTGTCTTTTTATTCTAGTTCTGGTATATTCTGTGACTTTATCCTCTACTATTTCTATTGAATTTTATATTTTTGAGAGTGTTTTAAGATTTTTTTTGTTAAGTTTTGCTCCTGGTTTTAACTGCTCCCATGAATTCCTTTTTTCTGTTGCTCTGATTTCTGTTGTTGGAGGCTTCCCTCCAATATGTGGTGGTCCCTGGCCTGCTTTATTTGGAAGTAGGACTTCTGTTAACTGGTAGCACTCAGTGTGAGGTGTTGGAAGCCAAACTAGCTTTTCATTTGGGGGACCTCAGTGTATTATCTGGGGATCTTTATTTGAGACATTTCAGTTTCTTCTGAGAAGGATCTCCCAATTTTCTGCCTGGAAAGTAAAAGCGTGGCCACTTGCTTTCCAAAAGCAGAGTTAGCGAAGGAAGGTGGAAATCCATTTTTGGTATATAGTGTTCTTTATATCTCAGGTTTAAGTCATGGTATCTCTGAGCCAGAAATTCTCAAGTTTGATATATCCAGAGAACACACATCTAAGTTTCATGTCAGATGGAAGGACAGGTGGACTTGGGACTCTGGTTAGAGATTTTCAACTGACCTTGCTGGCTTTTGTTTTATATTTTACCCAACTTTCCAAAGTGCCATTTGCCTGTTAAGTTCACAACCTGCCTTTAGTTCTGCAAGACAAACTGGCTTGCTTCTGTTCCAGTCACTTTCTGTAGGGACCAAAGTTGCGCTTCCATGTTATTTACCAGTCCTTTATCTACTTTTTATATCACAGCATTTATTAAAAATTATCTCTGTCAACCTTCTCTCCTGGTCATGTGTGTAACCTTTATTTTATGACTAATGAGACTTCTGGAGGGAGAGGAAATAAATTCGTGGTCAGTCTGTTATATTTAATCCAAATTTAGGACCTATGTTTAAATCAAAGTCTAATTTGAGTATAATTAATGATATTAACCCAGAGAAGTTTTAAAACTAATATATCTATAATAAGCATATTACACTTTTATCCTAAGGCCTTGTTTAATATTTTCTTTCAAACTTTATCCACTGCCATATACTTCCCTTTACTTCACAACAGAGATGGAGCTGTTTTCATGAACGTCCAAAGTGTTAGAAATATTTAAGTTAATTAAGATTTGTTCATTTTTAGCCTGGTCAACATAGCAAGACCTCATGTCTACAAAAAGGTAAAATAACAAATTAGCCAGGCCTGGTGGCATGTACCTTTCATTTTACCTACTCAGGAGGCTGAGGCAGAGGATCGCTTGAGCTCAGGAGTTTGAGGCTGCAGTTAACTGTAATTGTACCACTGCACTCCAGCCTGGGCAACAAAGGGAAACCCTGTCTCAGAAAAAGGAAAAAAGTTATTAATTCTTTCAAAACATATCTAAAATTTGTCCTGCCCAAAAGGAGAGCAAAAAATGTGAACTTTAGTCTTTGTTTTATTTTATTTATGTTTGCTGAGAAAAATGCTGTACTTTATTTATTTATTATTTCTATAGGTTTTTGGGGGAACAGGTGATATTTGGTTATATGACTGAGTTCTTTAGTAATGATTTGTGAGATTTTGGTGCACCCATCACCTGAGCAGTATCCACTGAACCCAGTTTGTAGTCTTTTATCCCTCACCCTCCTCCCAGCCTTTCCTCCGAGTCCCCAAAATCCATTGTATCATTCTTATGACTTTGCATCCTCATAGCTTAGCTCCCACATATGGATGAGAACGTATGATGTTTGGTTTTCCATGCCTGAGTTACTTCACTTAGAATAATAGTCTTTACTTCCATCCAGGTTACTGGGAATGCCATTAATTTATTCCTTATTATGGCTGAGTAGTATTCCTTATATATATATAGGTGTGTGTATGTATATCACATTTTCTTTACTCATTGACTAATGGGCATTTGGGCTGGTTCCATATTTTTGTAGCTGTAATTTGTTTGAGTTCCTCGTAGATTCTCGATCATAGCCCTTTGTCCGATGTATAGACTGTGAAGATTCCCTCCCACTCTGTGGGGTGTCTGCTTACTCTGCTGATTGTTCCTTTCCCTGTGCAGAAGCTCTTCAGTTAAGTCTCACCTGTTTGTTTCTGTTGCATTTGCTTTTGTGTTCTTGGTCATGAAGTCTTCGCCTAAGCCAGTGTCTAGACAGGTTTTTCCAGTGTTATCTTCTAGAATTTTTATGGTTTCAGGTCATAGATTTATGTCCTTGATCCATCTTGAGTTGATTTTTGTGTAAGGTGAGAGTTGAGGATCCAGTTTCATTCTCCTGCATGTGGCTTGCCAATTATCCCAGCACCATTTGTTGAATAGGGTTTACTTTCTTCACTTTATGTTTTAGTTGGCTTTGTTGAAAATCAGTTGGCAATAGGTATTTGAGTTTATTTCTGGGTTCTCTATTATGTTCCATTGGTGTATGTGCCTATTTTTGTACCACTACCATGCTATTTTGGTGACTATGGCCTACTGTTTTACATTTTACCCTACTTTCCAAAGTGCCATTTCCCTGTAAGTTCACAACCTGCCATTAGTTCTGCAAGACAAACTGGCTCGCTTCTGTTCCGCTCACTTTCTAGTATAGTTTGAAATAAGTAATGTGATGCCTCCAGATTTGTGGTTTTTGCTTAGTTTTGTTTTGGCTATGTGGGTTCTTGTTTGGTCCCATATGAATTTTAGGGTGGTTTTTTTCTAGTTCTGTGAAGAAGGATGGTGGTATTTTTATGGGAATTAGGTTGAATTTTTAGATTGCTTTTGGCAGTATGGTCATTTTCACAATATTCATTCTACCCATTCACGAGCATGGGATGTCTTTCCATTTGTTTGTGTCCATGATTTCATTCAGCAATGTTCTATAGTTCCCAATGGCGTATCAAAAAGATAATCCAGCCGGGCACGGTGGCTCACACCTGTAATCCCAGCACTTTGGGAGGCCAAAGTGGGTGGATCACGAGGTCAGGAGTTTGAGACCAGCCTGGCCAACATGGTGAAACCCTGTCTCTACTAAAAATACAAAAATTAGCCTGGTGTGATGGTGCGTGCCTGTAATCCCAGCTACTCAGGAGGCTGAGGCAGGAGAATCACTTGAACCTGGGAGACAGAGGTTGCAGTGAACCAAGATCACCCCACTGCACTCCAGCCTGGGTGACAGAGCAAGACTCCATCTCAAAAAAAAAACATAATCCACCATGATCAAATGGGTTTCATACCAGGGATGCAGGGATGGATTAACATATACAAGTCAATAAATATGATATACCACATAAACAGAATTAAAAACAAAAAATCACATGATCATCTCAATAGACACAGAAAAAGCATTTGACCGAATGCAGCATCCTTTTATGATTAAAACCCTCAGCAAAATTGGCATACAAGGATCATACCTCAATGTAATAAAAGCCATCTATGACAAACCCACAGCCAACATAATACTGAACGGGGAAAAGTTGAAAGCATTCCCCGAGAACCGGAACAAGACAAGGATGCCCACTCTCACCACTTCTATTCAACATAGTACTGGAAGGCCTAGCCAGAGCAATCACACAAGAGAAAGCAATAAAAGGCATCCAGATCAGTAAAGAGGAAGTCAAACTGTTGCTGTTTGCTAATGATATGATCATATACCTAGGAAATCCTAAACTGATAAATGAATTCAGGAAAGATTCGGGAGACAAAATTAATGTACACAAATCAGTAGCTGTGTTATACCCCAACAGCAACCAACCTTAGAATCAAACCAAGAACTCAACCCCTTTTATGATAGCTGCAAAAATAAAATAAAATAAAATAACATAAAATAAAATAAAATACTTAGGAATAGACCTAACCAAGGAGGTAAAGACCTCTACAAGGAAAACAACTTTAGTATTTTTAATGGGTTAAAATGAGAAGCAGCAGGTACAGCGGAAGAAGTCGGTGCGCATCGGCGTCCAATGGGTACTGGACCTTTGATGGTAAGGCTACTAAATTACTAGGTACAATTATTTTCTAGTTTTTGTTATTAAACCTTAAAACTACTAAGTAACCCCTTCCATTTCTTGTTAAAGATCATAACATTTCAAGCTCTGATTTATGCTGACTGATGTTAGATTGTTTATATTTTGTGACTACCTTAAATAATACCTATAAACAGTAAACCGTTAGTAATGTTTTTGCTATAATTAAATGTAGTAAGACTTATCTTCCAAATTATAACTGAATTGTCAAACACTTGTCAAAGTTTTGGATTTACTCAAAATTCTATGCTCAGCAGCTGGAGGTAGGAAGAGTAAGGGCCCTCCGTTACACTTATGGAGAGGCATACTTTCTCATGAGGGGAATACTCTGCAAGAATTCATATCTTGTAAGCAGTGGTGAATGCTACTAATTAGTGTACAAAAAAATTTTTTTTGGCGTGGCTGCCAACAAAGAGATCCAAGAGGGTAGATGGAGTCGAGCTTGCTGAAGCAAGGAAAGAGAAAAGCGGTATTCTAGGCAGAGAGCAGGGGTAGAGCAGGAAAATGGCTAGGTGCAGGTCAGATGATTTATCGAATGAAATGGATCAAGTTTTGAAATGAACGGAAAGTATTCTCTGAGAGTCTCATTTGAGTCATGTCATGGCAGTCTTATTTAAACATGAAGTGAAAGTTAGATTTTTTAAGTTGTCATCTGTTTTCAGGGTGTGAGAGAATATTTAAGTGATACTTTTTTTATCCTCAACATAAGAAAATAGGACTAGAGAAACCTGTGACTTCCTCACTTGTTGGTGGCCTAGCAGCCCTGGCACACAGAGCCTCTGAATCTGAAACACTTGTTTTGTCACAATATCACCTGAAATAATACATTTAGGATGAGTAATTTAGTAAATGCATTAGTCTTGTATTCACTGCAATAAAATGCTCTTGTACCAGTATTATTTAATGCATTACATTTTATTGTAATAAATAAATCATAGAAATAGAAATTCTTGGCTGCTTTATATTGCTGTAGAAAAAAACCAGTGAAATCTTATTTTAAACTTTTCTCATGATTTTTAAAGGGAATTCATAAAATCTTTGTTAGGTTTGATGACAGGTACCATATTAAGGGCAGCATTTTATAACCCATATCTTAAACATCGTCTCTGGAAGTTAAGAGCCTCCAATGGATTTTCTGTAGAGTGCACATGATACCGCACTCAGGCAGTTCATGGAGTGTAAGAAATATCTTAGTGCTTTGTCATTTCACATTTTAACCAAGAAAAAATACACTTTGATAAGTTTAGCTTACACTTCCCTTCCCCTTCAGGTATCTACTGTGCGTTTCAGTCAACAATACAGCTCATGTTCGACAATACTCCTTGATGACAGCACAGCCAGCCAGCCTTATCTTACAATGACAATAATATCGTGAGTACAACTATACTGCCAAGGGATGGATTCCTTTATTCTAAAATTATTTCAGTCATTTGTTTTTCCTCTTCAGCAATCAGTTTAAGAAATTGGAGTCAACTATATATTGATATCCAGATTCTAAATATTAAGTATCAATTTCTCTTTTAATCTTAGATGTCTTGGTGGAAGGAAAAATCAGCAAAGAAACAATCCCAGAAAAAGCATATTTTTTTTAATGCCTTTATGCCTTGAGACACTGTTGAACTCAGTGAGAAGGATACGTTCCCTTTATTGAATGTTTTTCATGAAAACTTAGTTGTTCAGTGCATTATAGGCCTAAATCAGTGTGTACTACTTTCAACATTCGACTCAGAAGAAGGAACAGCTTTTCCTCTTCTGGCACCACAGTGTATCTGCATTTGAATTTCTCCCATTGTGCATGAGCACCTCATGGGCTACAAAGATGCGCTTTGAGAGCACCCTGAGATGAAGTTTATTTTAAAAGGAACAACAACCAACACCAGCACCAGCTCCACAGGGGCTGTCCAGTGTACATTATTATCATCTCCTGGGTCATGAGTGTTGATTTTGAGAACACAGTTTGGAAAGTAGTAATTTAGAATATTAATATTTTTATCTTTAATTTTACTATTCATTCTGTAAACATAACTAGCTTATAAACAATTTCGTTTCAAATGCACTAGCCTTTTTAGCTAATTCAATTTTACTTCAATAAAAGTGGCAAGTTTATACTCATAATAATGTCACTTTCCTCCCTCACTTTTAACAATAGTTGTGATGAAATTGTGTTTCAGCAAAAACTGGACTCAAACTCTGTCTCAAGTCCTGAGCTTTGGGACCTGTTGAGTAATCACTAAATGTCTGTAGTCAGCCAAGTCTCTGAAATCTTTGAGCACACATACACAAAAACTGCTTTACCTAGAGTCCCTGGCTTCTTTTGAGTTCAAAAGATTTTGATGTGTTAGCATACAATTCAAAAATAGCTTTGAAGATTAATCTTGCTCAAACATATTTCATGTTTTTTTCCTCATTCTACTTTTTAGAAGTCTACTTTTGAAAGTAAAGTAAGTTTTAATTTGCCATCAGCAAGTTTGAGAAATAATCATTTGGTATATTAACTATTGGTGAAATAAAGGTTTATTGAGCAAATTAATAGGGCAAATTGGCTTCAAGAAAAGGTTTTGAAAAATGTTTATCACGAGTCAGTAGTGCAGTGTTGTCAGTGGGATAGGTGGAACTCACTGAGATCACTTATGCAAGGTTTTTTTTCAAAATACAGGTCTGCAAACACATGTATCTTCCCATCTTCACCTTCCCTCTATCTCTGGGCACTGAGAAGTCTTTTAGGAAAATAGGGATGGATGTGAGGCATCTTTATGTGGAGAAAGGCATCCCAGAAGATTCTGATTTTCACCCCAGCTCTATCATTCCAAACTTTGCTACACATTGAAATCACCTGGGAAACTTTTACCAACAACCTTGATGCCCAGAGTCATATCCAACACTAATTACATTGAAATGTCTCATGTTGAAGATGAGGCAGTTATTAAAGCTTCTCAGGTGATTTTAACATGCAGCAAAGTTTGAGAACCACGGCTTCATTTGAGTTTAGGATGAGAAACTGCTCCTATTTGGTGGGACCTTGGGCAAGTCAGTTTTAAGGTTTGTTTCCCTGATCTGTAAAATGAGTGTTGAATTAAATGTCATGTAAGGTCATTGGTCCTTTCCAGCATGTAACTTTAAATTCTGTGATTTTAAAACTATTTCAGAGATGAAAACTACTTGAAGCACTATAGACATATCCATCTTACATGCTAATGTTTCAGGCTTTTTAAAAAGTGCTAATATTGTGTAGACCTATTACTAAAATTGAGATTTGCCTTCCCTCAGTTGTTTTCAGCCTCACTCTACAAAATTAGCTGGGCGTGGTGGTGCATGCCTGTAATCCCAGCTACTCAGGATGTTGAGGCAGGGGAATGGCTTGAACCCGGGAGGCAGAAGTTGTGGTGAGCCAAGATCGCACCATTGCACTCAAGCCTGGGCAACAAGAGTGAATCTCTATCCCAAAAACAACACACACACACAAAATTACCTGGGCATAGTGGCACAAAACTGTGCTGAGGCTGAGACTGGTGAATCGCTTGAACCTGGGAGACAGAGGTTGCAGTGACCCCCAGCTACTTGGGAGGCTGAGGCATGAGAATCGCTTGAACCTGGGAGGTGGAGGTTGTGGTGAGCCAAGATCCCACCACTGCACTCCAGTCTGAGCAACAGAGCGAGATTCTGGGTCAAAAAATAAACACATAAAGTAAATCGGATGGGACGAAAGGTTTTGTGGGTAGAAGAGCATATAACAGGGAAATCTGTTATTATTTATATATTATAATCATCAACAGAAACACGTCTTCTTAACAGCATATTGCCTCACATTTTAGTTCTCGTATTTTTGTGAAAAACCAAGAAATGAAACAAAGTGCCCTTATGGTGCTGTTCTGAACTAGAAGATTTGAATTTCAGGGCCGCTAGGAGAGTTTCCTCTGCCCTGCTTTTAAAAAGTGTCTTCAGGCCTAACAAATGGTAACATCTATTGTTATGAATTGTTTTTCTTTCCACAGAGTGACCTTGGAGATACATCATGATATCACGCAAAGGTGAGCTTTTTAGAAATCTGTCTTGTTATTCTAGCTAATTGCTTTGCAAGATACCAAGCTCAGTGTTAGGTCACAGCTCTAGACATCATAAGCTGTATTGTGCCTGCTAAAATATCGAAGCAAATTATTTGTGTTTTCTTTGTTCCTTAAGACTCTTAATTCTTAAATGATTGAGAATCTCAAAGAGTGTGTGTTTATATTGATTATACTGATATTTACTGTGGTAGAAATATAACATTGAGATTTTTTTTCAAAATCTATTTTTAGTTTAGATTTCACAGCCTTACCACTGTTGATATTATGAGCTAGATAACGCTTTTTTGTGAGGACTGTCCTGTGCGTTGCAGAGAGTTTAGCAGCATTCATGGCCTCTACCAACTAGATGTCAGTAGTAACCCATGGCCCAGGTTGTAACAACAGAAAATATTCCTTGAGAACAATATTATTAACAGAAATTTTTCACTGAAAAATAACTTTTCTACAATCAAAAGTTGAGTAAAAAGTGTGTCATGTATTTGTATTATTTAAAGTCTCTCATGTTGAGCTTAATAGGAGACAACTGGATTCTCTAGATGTTTCTTTACAATTTGCTATAAAAAAGTAATAAGAGGCTGAGCACGGTGGCTCACGCCTGTAATCCCAGCACTTTGGGAGGCCAAGGTGGGTGGACCACAAGGTCAGGAGATCAAGACCATCCTGACTAACATGGTGAAACCCGCCTCTGCTGAAAGTACAAAAAATGGCTGGACATGGTGGTGCATGCCTGTAGTCTAGCTACTACTTGGGAGGCTGAGACCGGAGAATCACTTGAACCTGGGAGGCAGACGTTGCAGTGAGCCGAGATCTCGCCATTGCACCCCAGCCTGAGTGACAGAGGGAGACTCCATCTCAAGAAAAGAAAAAAAGAAGCAATAAGATGACCCAACCTCATGCAAATAGGTAGCTGGTAAAAGGTGTATTTTAAAGTTTTCAGACAGTTGTGGGTATTCTTTAATACTAAATCAAAACTTCACAAGTGCTAGTTTCTTAAATTAGTTACAGTGGCATTTTCCATATTAATAAATTTATTCCATCAGTACTCATTGATCTTTCTTGCACAGTAAATGGATCTTTCCCCCATACTTGCATTTACAATATTATGCATTAGTTACTTGGAATATATTGGTTTATGTTTTATTATGTCAAAAATCACTTTTAGTTTAATCACCAATCTTACTTTAAAACGCCTTTAAGTATTGAAAAGCTGTCAAGGCTACAGTAGAAGGAACAAGTTTTTCAAAGTTCTCAGGAAAGCTTAAATTTCATCATTGGGAACAAATACTCAATTTCCTTGAAGGAACAAACTCTCACTTCATTTATTTTTGAGAATGATAGTTTTACTTCTTTTTTTAGACTGAGTCTCACTCTGTCACTTGGCTGGAGTGCTTTGGCATGATCTCAGCTCAAGCAATCCTCTCACCTCAGGCTCCTGTGTAGCTGGGACCACAGATGTGTGGCACCACGCCAGGCTAATTTTCTTGTGTTGTTGGTAGAGGCAGGTTTTTGTTATGTTGCCTAGGCTGGTCTCGAACTGCTGAAGGAGCTCAAGCCATCTGCCTGCTTTGGCCTCCCAAAGTGCTGGGATTTTACAGGCATGAGCCACAGCGCCGGCCCAGTTGTACTTTTAAATAAAAACAATGTTCTGTGAAAAAATTGGTTGTTCAGTTCACAATTAAATCACGAATTCTTTTTTTTAAAAAAAAAAAAAACAACAACAACAATGACTGTACTGCAGTCAGCAGAAGCGCTTCTTGTTAACTTTCCACTTACCAGAATCGTAAAGAGACATGTCAAGATTTAATAACATTAATTTCTACTGCTTCATCAAAGACATTCTTAAGTAATTCAGGCTACCTTTTTTAACTATAGGGGATAGTAAAGAATAGAGTGACTAATGTAATTGGTACCACTGCCTTGATTTATGCTGAGAAACCAGCAGTTTTACCCACTTTTACTTTTATACAGTCATGGCAAATGTCAACGAAAAAGCAGGCAATGACTTTGTATTACTTTTACAAATTTTTAAATTTTTAAATCAGCTTTCTCAGGTTTAATTAGTATGATTCAGAACAGTGTTGGCCAGGCACAGTGGCTCAGGCCTGTAATCCCAGCACTTTGGGAGTCCAAGGCGAGCAGATCACCTGAGGTCAGGAGTTCAATACCAGCCTGGCCAACATAGTGAAACCACATCTCTACTAAAAATACAAAAATTAGCTGGGCGTGGTGGTGGGCGCCTGTAATCCCAGCTACTTGGGAGGTTGAGGTAGGAGAATCACTTGAACCTGGGAGGCAAAGATTGCCGTGAACCGAGATCGTGCCATTGTACTCCAGCCTGGGCAACAAGAGTGAAACTCGGTCTCGAAAAAAAAAAAAAAAAGAACAGTTGGCCTCTTAGGCCTTCTGGAAAGGGTCTTGGGGATCCTGAGAGGTCCACAGAGCACATTTGGGGAACCACTGGTTTATCATGTAGGCACAATGCATTAGTTTTACAAAGTTTAAAGTTCATCAAAGACTGGCCTCTTAAAAAGGCAGATGAGTTTTTAATTCAAACAACAGAAAATACATAAATATGTCACGAGAGTATACTACAGAGAACTAAAGAGAAAGGAAGCTAGAAAATCTGAATCACATTTACATTTATTAAAGTTCATCACTACTGCTTTGTAAAACATTCTTGTGTTTCAGTGTGTGGTGTGGTTAGAAGAGTGAAAATATATTTGGTTTGTTGCCATTGCCTGTTAGGGAGAGTCAGTACTTACGGGCATTTCTGACTGGTTACATATAAAAGACTTCACAGTACAGGACATGAAGTTCTGAGAAAGAAGAAGTCAGGAAACCCTCTGCAAGTCAGGATCCAGGAGAAAAATTTGTAAAAACTGCTTCGGTAAAGTAAACAGCAAAGCACACAGGAGGCAGTATTTTACTAAACATATGTGATACTAATATATTAACAGTTTTTGAAGTAATGCACACTCTTATTTTATAGAGATGCAGATGGATCTTTGAGCATATCTGATGAGAAGTTATACTCATTTACGGTAAGTGGCGCTTTTATTGCGGTTGTATTTTCATCATACACTTGTATCTGTTTCATGCTGAAGTCAAAGGCATCTTTTTAAAAATCTTCCCCGTTTCATGTCACATTTAGTCATCTTAAGTGTTGTAAAAAGAATGTGCGGGCCGGGCGTGGTGGCTCAAGCCTGTAATCCCAGCACTTTGGGAGGCCGAGGCGGGCGGATCACAAGGTCAGGAGATCGAGACCACAGTGAAACCCCGTCTCTACTAAAAATACAAAAAATTAGCCGGGCGCGGTGGCGGGCGCCTGTAGTCCCAGCTACTCAGGAGGCTGAGGCAGGAGAATGGCGGGAACCCGGGAGGCGGAGCTTGCAGTGAGCCGAGATCACGCCACTGCACTCCAGCCTGGGCAACAGCGTGAGACTCCGTCTCAAAAAAAAAAAAAAAAAAAAAGAATGTGCTGGAATAAGAACTGATCTGCAGCTCTGTTTAGTTAGTGAGCTAGTATGAGTAAATATACTACCCAAATAACAGAAAGTGTATCTTTTTTTTTTTTTTTTTGAGGTGGAGTCTCTCTCTGTAGCCCAGGCTGGAGTGCAGTCATGTGATCTCGGCTCCCTGCAGGCTCTGCCTCCCAGGTCCCTGTTCAAGCAGAAACCTGAACCAAGTGAACAAGTTCAACATCATCAGTAAGAAGAACTATCAGTGCCATAACTCTGATGGAATGCACGGGGAAGGATTCCACATCATTTTTGTACTGTAATGGCCAAAAGTGCATAACTTCAGTCCAATCATGGAAATACATCAGAAAAACCCAAATCGAGGAACATTTGACAAATACTGATCAGTACTGGTTCAAAGTGTCACGGTTAGGAAAGGTAAGGAAAGACTGAGGAACTGTCACTGCAGTCCTACAAAATGTCAAGAGACTAAGAAATAACTAAATGCCCCGTGATCCTGGATGGCATTTGGGAACAGAAAAAGGACATTAGTGGAAAAAGTGGTGAAACTCCAATAAGGACTTTAGTTTAGCTAATATGTTCAATTTAAATTAAATAATTTAAATATATTTAAACATTATTTAAATGTATTAAATTAATAAAATTGTTTATTTTGTGAAATAATTTTAATCTGGTTAAATATGAGAATGTGGATTTCCTGGTTCTGATCACCGTACTGTGGCTATCTAAGAGGTGAACGTTCAGGGAGGCTGGGGGAGGAATAAATGGAAATTATACTACTGAGTTGGGAGAGAAACCTACCCCATCAGTCACGAAACCCTCACATTCACGGCAGTGTGTCGGAGGTTCCAATATGAATGGCATTTCCCAGATGTCAGTGCGAGGTCCCTGTGGAGGGAGTGGGGCTCCCTGGGAATCTAGTGGAGAGCATTCAGGGCTCTCTTCCTCAGGAGCCTGCCCTTCCTGCACAGAAGCATCAGCCTCACCTCTGTAGCGCTGCCCCTCTGCCTCTCAGAACCCACTCGGCTTCAGGCAGTTTCTACTGCCAGCCTCCTTTCACAGATACAGCCTCCAGGAACTCAGCCCTGCCTTCCCAAGTGTTCCCGCCTCTCTTGGGAAGGGATGCTCTCAGATTCCGCACCCCTGGACTTCCCCGGGCAGCACCTGCTCCTTCATTCTTCACTTCCGCAGCTCTCCGTTCTCACTCTGAGGGTCCTCTCCTCCTGGGAGTGTGTGTTGCTGGCAACAATGAAGATCCCCCCTGGCCACCCCCCATGCCCTGTTCTTCTGCACTTCCCTGGCTTCCTGTGTTGGTTCTGCTGGTGTCACCTGCTTTTGGGTTTACGTGGCTTCCCAGCTTCCTAATTTCTCTGAAGTTGAGTTTGATGTGTGTGTTGATGATGGGCTTTTTCTTCCTCCTCCTCCTCCTCCTCCTCAGTCTTGTTGTTGCTCCATATAGTTTCCAGAAGGAGAAAAGGGACACTGTAAAATTAAGCTGCTACAGGCCTAGCACAGTGGCTCACACCTGTAATCCCAGCCCTTTGGGAGGCCGAGGCAGGTGGAGCACCTGAGGTCAGGAGTTCGATACCAGGCTGGCCAACATGGTGAAACCCGATCTCTACCAAAAATACAAAAATTAGCAAGGCATGGTGGTGTGTGCCTGTAATCCCAGCTACTCAGGAGGCTGAGGCAGGAGGATCTCTTGAACCTGGGAGGTAGAAGTTACAGTGAGCCGAGATCGTGCTACTGCACTTCACCCTGGGCAACAAGAGTGAAACTCCATCTCAAAATAATAGTAGTAGTAGTAGTAGTAGTAATAATAATAATAATAATAATAATAATAATAAAGCTGCTGCCATGTTTCTATCAGACCCAGACATCCCGCAGAGTGAGCTGGAATTCTCTGTTTCTCTGTTTCGCCTCCATACCCACTGGCTCCTCTCTGCCCGCTCCCTCTTGGGCTGCATCACCAGCATGCCTCGCTCTCTGGCCCTAGTGGAATTCAGACAGTGGGGTATGTCACAGGAGGTGGGAGAGAGAGAGGAGAGGTGGTTATTCGCTCAGATTCTTCCTTGCTGGTTTGGCAGTGGCCACATCTTTCCACTGAAAACTGCAGCTCCTGATGATCCTCCTCTACACCCACAGCTGTCTTTGGGGTCTGCGGACACCTTTCCTGTCCCTCTAGACCCAGGGAGAGAACAGCTCGCCCTCTTGCTGCTCCAGGGCATTCCTCATCTCTCACTGGTTCCCTTAACTCTGTCCACACTTCTGTGAACAGCCCCTTTCCTCAAGTACCCATTCGAATACGTCCTCTGGCTTCCCCCAGGAGCCTGACTGATACCACAGGTGGGTGGATGCTGGCGCGCTGCCAGGCCCCTCTTCCTCTGGTGACTGGCCAGCCAAGTTTCCGGGAGTCTCGTTAGCGGGGGCAGGCGGTGGGCACAGCACAAGCTGTGAGCTCAAATCCACAGAACAAAAGTGGGAGAAGACACCGGCAGGATGGACTGCCACAAAACTCTCGGCATTCGTGACGTCTGTCCTTTAAATCACACAAGGCATCATCAGGCTTCAGACATGAGACAGCCTAAGTATTTAAGTACTTCAGATAAACAAATTGTTTTTCAGAACTGGTCATTGCTAAGTTGGCAAATTGCTATTTGAAACACTGGCTCTCCTTGACTCAGTGATTCAGCCAGCTAGTCCCTTGCCAAGCTAGTTTGTTGGGCAAATTCCACCTTGAGAATGTATCTGCTCCTGTCAAAACCAGATTCTCCCTGCCTGAGGCTGGACTTGACCTTCTGACTCAGGATATGCTGACTGGGGTCCCTGGGTCCAAGGGTGGCCCCCTTGGGCCATTGTGGGCTGAACCTCTTCCATGATGGGGTGGGGGGGCAGGCCCCACCTAATTCACCCTTGACCTCATCCAGGCAGGTGAAGTTCCCTGCAGGAGTCACCTGAGCCCAGCCCCTCAGACCAGGATCCATCATGGTTAGGAGGATTTGGGGCTATCTCAGGTTCTTTGGCTACAAAGGGGTCCCAGTCTTAGGGGTCTGCCCCAGAGGTGGGGCACAGAGGGCCTGCTGGGGCCCATGGGCTGGGCTGGGTGGACGGGGATCTGGTCACAGCAGCAGCAGCTGGAAGGCCAATGGGAGGGCACCAGGGCCTGGGGCCCATGTCTGGTCCTGGGCCTCCCCAGGCCTCTTGTCTTCTCCCCCGCGGGCATTCGGGATCTGTGTCTGGACCCAGCCTTGCCCAGGAGGTCTAGGGCCATGGGGTGTTGTCATTAGAATCGCAGTGCTCACAGCAAGGCAGTGCATTGAATTAGCAGGGCAGGGTCTCATGGGCAGGGACCATGTGGAGGGGTGGGGGGAAGGGCAGTTGTCCCCAGAGGCTGTGGTGGGCCTGGCTCTGGGCCGGGCAGTGGGCCAGGGTCTGCTGTGTGGCTGAGCTCTGACCACAGGCTGTCTGGGGCTGGTGAGCTCCTGAGAGAGGGGACTGGTGCAGAGTACCCTAGGGTGGGAGCTCACGAGGAGGGGTCTGTGGGGTGTGGAAACCATTCTAGAGCAGGCAGATGACACTTGTCAGGGGAACAGGCATAGAAAGGACCCATGTGGGGGTGGGGGACACACAACCTCAGAAGGAGCAGGGAAGGGGCTTTGACAGGTCCAGGGAGCATCCCTGAGGTTTCCTAGCACAATTCCCACCAGCCATGTCCCAGGGGTCCCCCTGCCCCCAACCCTCTGCAGTGCCAGCCCAATGCCCTGGGCAAAACATCCTGGACTCTGGCTGTTACAAAGGAGGACAGGGTCATCTGGACCCGCCCGAGCTCCAGGGCCGTGACTTTCACAGCCCCGTACGTATATCAATGAAAAATGTGCAGGAATCATATGATTGTATTCCCTTTCATAAAGAGGGCCCCTCTAAATTGTTTAAGCCCCGATTCACCCCTGGCCAAAGGAGACAACAATGGCATGTGTGGGGCCGTGGCCTTGAGACCCAGAGGTCCTGCTGCCCCACGATACCCACTGCCCACCCTAGGGGGACTGGCCGTAGCCCTGGAGCCCCCAAACACCATGCAGGCATGCAAGAGGGTCTCAGCTCCCGAGTACCAGGCTGGGAGGGCCCACAGTCCAGTAAACTAATCAAGCTCCGCCACACCCAGGAGAGCAGCTCCAGGAGCCTGCACTGGGGAGAGAGCCTCAGACCCCTGCCCCAGGCCTGCACCCCAGAAGTAGGAGCATGGGAACACCTCTCCTTGGCTCCCGGCCAGCGGAAGTCACATCCCCAGCCCTCTGGCTCCAGGCAGCCTCATGTCCCAGTCACTCCTTGGCCCACCTCACTGGTTGGTCAGAGCTCACTGCCCAAGGGCACCTCCCAGCACCTCAGTGACGAGTGGAGGGAACAGGTGTTTACCAGGAGCTGGCATGCTTTGTCTCAGGGATGAGTAGTGACACAGCCAGGAAGGCACGCTATCCCCATTTTACAGATGAGGAAACGGAGGCTCAGGTTGGGCTGGTGACTAAGGGAAGCAGCATGTGGCAGGTGGTTTGAGGCATCTCTGTCCATCATGAGTGACTAGGGAGCAGCCCTGCCACTCCTCATGCGATGTGCCAGGAGCCAGGGAAGCTGCTTTCTTGGGGATTCTAACTAGAGCCAGAAGCATCTCCCTGAGTGGTGGTGGAGGCCTCTGTCTACTCCTCCAGGACTGCCAGGGGATAGGAGGGCACCGCTGACGTCACAGAGCCTCTAGGGTGAGTGAGCATCAGCTGAGCGGCGCCAGGTGACTACGCTTCTCCTCAGTGCTGTCCCCCTTCTGCCTTGGGCAAGGCACCACCCTGAACGCCCCACCTATCCCATGGAGGCTGCAAACTGCTCTGCAGAGCCAGGGTCTCCAGGAATGGGGAGGGCAGTCACCCTCACTCCACTGGTGTTTGTGACCCAAAGCACTGCCCAGGTCTCCAGGCCCATAGAACCCCCAAACCCCTTACTGGACCACATGGGGGACCTTGAGCAGCAGGCTTGGAATCCTAGGCCTTGTCTCCAGGTACATATCAGTGCCCAGGCTTGGGAAGCTTTGGTCTCAGGGGGGCTGGGACTCAGGCCCCCTACCTCAAGCAAGAGGCATGTCCAGATGTCTCCTGTCCAGCCTCAGCCCTGCTCCCTGCCCCTATCCGTCATGGGGTCCCTAGGACAGGGTTACAGAAGTCTCATGTTGTCAGGGGATGCTGCCAACCCAGTGCCGGGGTGGTTCCGCCCAGCCCCTTCCTGCTGCCGCCCTCTCTGACTCACCTGTCCAGCCTCCTACTGGGCTGGGGCCAGAGCGTAGACAGGCACCAGAGGCAGCTATAAAAGCACGTTGGGCCAGTCCTCAGCATCCTAGTTGGCCACTGTCTGCTGCCACACGATGCTGGGAGGCCTGGGGAAGCTGGCTGCTGAGGGCATGGCCCACCGCACCGAGAAGGCCACCGAGGGAGCCAGTGAGGACCTGGGGCTCCTTTCTACCTGGGCTGGGGGGATCTGGGGCAGACTGGGTCTGTTG